CATAAATTATTCACCCAAAAATTTGCAGTAGTAAACTGGCTACAACAAAAAAGCTTACACAGCTGGAGGACTTGAAACTTTAAAATATTTTCAATAAACAGTTTACACTTCAATAAAAGTTTGGGGATCTTCGAAGTTTTACATTTTTTTTTCAGCTTTTAACAAAAAAGTTTACACAGCTAGAAGACTCGAAGCTTGAAAAAATTATCCACCAAAAAGTTTTTACACTTCAATGAAGGTTTGGAGATTTTGTATCTGCTTTGAAGTTTTTATTTTTTAATTAAAAGTTTTCACACATTAAACTTCTTAAAAATTTTAAATATGTATATGGTAAATTTAGAAAAACGTATTTTTTCAAAAAGTTCAAGAAAGCTTAAAGCTCACTAAGGAAAGCTTTTGGACGAAAAGTTTTTTAAAGATTAATACCTCAGAATTGCACACGTTAATAGCCCTTCATTTCATGTATTGAGACGAGTAACGACCAAAAAAGCTTTTTAAACTTCCTGAAAATGCTTAACAAAAACCATGTACGATCAATATCACTTTTGAGCTGGAGATGGAGTTGGAGATAGTGTTTGAACATTAATAAACCTTCTTAATTTTGTCAATGCATAGAGAGTTCTGTAATATTAAGCGGAAGCCTATCATTTCCACGAAGCTCAGCGGAGCAACATTTATACGCAACGATTTATCAAAAAGCTAATAAAAAAATGAAAGCTAAACTTTATGTGATAGCTTTTTAAAAAAGTTGAAAGCTATTTAATTCGCGTGAAAGATCCTGTGGAATCATTTCTTTCGACAAAGAAAAGATCGAAATTTATGTGCGTTTGTAAGAACAGATATTTAAATTTTCCGAAATAAAAACAAATATAATTAGTGATTTGACGAGCAAAAATTCTAAGTCGCATGTGAAAGCTCGTGTTGATAAAAGCTCGGCAAATAAAATCATGATATGTATATTAGATTTTTCAAATTCCCAGTCCAATAATAAGCATGGAGGGCAGGTTTCAAAAAAATATATAAGTAGAAAGCTAAGAATGCAAAAGTCCCTTTTAACACCCTAGATTAATGCAAAAGCTCTTACTTTAATACTTGGCCGTTCAGCCCACACAAAAACTCTTAAGTTCAAAAGAAATTCGTTGGAGAATTATTAAATCTTGTCTTAAAAAAGCAATATTTAAATTTTAGCATGAAAGCTTTGTACTAAAAGCAAAAGCTCTCAAGATTTCTTTGTGAAAGCTCTGCAGACCAAATGATGCAATTTTTTTCATAGTTTTCATTTCAGAAATTATTTAGCAAAAAAGTTTTCCGGTGAAAACTAAGAAAATTGTACACTTAGCAATCACTTTGCCCATTCACCATTGACGAGAGCAAAGATTCCGCATTTGAAAGTCACAAACATTGCACACTCACCACATTTGCTACTCACAATCCTTAGATTCAAGTTGAGTGTTATTGCTGATGCAAAGTAAATAATGTGAGCCATTAGCCATTTTAAAGGAGCTGTGAAGTAAACAACTTCAGATATATTGAAGTGTCATGGATACAGGACTTTTACATTTGGAAATGTCAACTTGAGTTGGGGGATTGCTGTTCTTTTTTCCGCAGTGTGAGAAAACGGCAAAGTGGTTAAGTAATTTAAGCAGACACTGAGAGGAGAAAGCTGCATGGTTTAGGACTTCCCTACTAACGCATTAACGAGCCTGAGTGAGGGAAAGTTAAGCATGCAGAGAAACGGAAAGAAAAGAATCAGAAACCTCGTCGAGAAGCAAGAGAGCGAGGGTGGGAGCTGTCAAGACGAAGAAGATTGCATTGGATCGTTGCCACGCCAGATCACTCTGCTCATTTTTAACCGATAGATGGCGCTCTACAGCAATTATGAGACAAAGTCCCTTCGAAAGTAGTTTCGAAAAACACATGAATTAAGCGTTAAGCTTCTTTCCAGACCTTTTAAATTATTTCGCAAATACATTTCCCACCTTAACACTTTAAAAGTCTACTGTTTGCTTGCTAACCCTTTTCTTTACTGCTCTGGCTGTCATTTCCTTCCTACAAACAACTTTTTCTATACCACAGATTTGGTGCTCATTCAATGCAGTATATCCAAAGCAGCTTCAGTTATAAGCCACATTGTCAATCTCGTTTGGCTGCAATGTATCAGAAGTGCTGCATTGCAGTGGATTTGCATATCACTTGGCAGACAGACGTGCCGGGCTGTCGTACCTCTCACAGGCTTCTTTCTATTCAGATGCCAGCAAAGTAAAGCGAATAAATTTTTGGACTTAGTATTTCTCAACAGTTAAATCTACTCAACACCGGATATTAGTTGATTTTTTAACTTCACCGACCGCCACTGTTGTCTATTACACGGCCGCTGCAAGTTATTTCTTTCTGCTCAACTCAAAATTGCGTCACTGGCAATTCGCCTTTCGCCTGCTGCTCCTATTCACTTCTGCATAAACAATTTCTCTCTTTGAATCCCACACAAGACGGTTGCTTCATCTTCCTCTGCAGCTTTCACTTAAGCGGCACTATCTTTTCTCATTGCTTCCTTTCACATGCCCTGCCCCACCCGGCAGATCTTTCGATGCAAAAATGGTTGCGGCACCAATTCACGCCAGTGGCACATCAAAGTAACAGCATAAACACATAAATCCAACAAAATCGAACCAACATTGGTTGAACGGTAGAGGAGAGAGCGAAATGTGGAGGAAGGGAAATGTTTTTCTAGCGAAAACTTTTGCAAACTAGTATTTTTCAAAAGTAAACCAAACAAGTAAGAAAGTCTACGTTCGGGCGGAGCCGAACATTAAATACC